TATGCAATACTTACAATACCATTTTCCTCTATTCTCTTACGATCTCCGCTATCTATAACATAAACCTGAGGAAAAATGGAAAGCACAGCAAGTGGGTATTAAACCAAGCACTGGCAGATATTTAAGCAAACAAATTCGCTGGAAATATCCTAAAAAGATAAGACTGAAGTGTTAATTTCGGAAGTTATTATTGCTGATTTTGGCGAATTGCCTAATGACTGTCAATCAATACCTACCAGAACGTCAACGTGTTCGTAATAATTTTTCCAATACGGACGAATGGCTTTTTGACCTAATAAAAGAAGACAAATAATGCAAAACTTGTCCTCTAAGCCGATAGTTCTCAAACATCAAAATAATTGAGTACACGAATACTCTCAAATAATAAGATTACTCAACAGGACATTGTTTGAAAACACTATGATTTTTTTGCACGTAATAACAGCAAAGCTACGCTTACCTCCTATATCCCATACGTTTAACTTAAAACCTTGGGCTTGGACACTTTTGATGTTAAATCCCTGAAAAGGAAACACATTTAATTAGGGCGTTATTTCTCGCCTTCATCGTCGACGAAAAGAGGCACATAACATACCTGCGTTGGGGTGATCTGAGTTATTTCTTCATGAGAAAGCTGCTTCAAAATCGTAGTTTTGCCGGCATTGTCCAAACCAAGGAAAAGAATCCTCAATTCCTTACTTGCATTTGACTTTAGACTTCGCAGAAGCGATAGCAAACCCTGCAAAAATTATTGTTAGCTACTAAGCCTCAAGTAAGGAACGATTTTGAGGATCATTTACTAACCATTCTGCGCGAAGATCACGAAAGTTGCCCAGAACGCACTGTATACTGTGTAGTAACTAAAGTCGGGGCTGCTAAGCGTGACGTCATGGGATGAAGATCGTCTTGGAGAAAAACTGGGCACAAACCGAAAATGCAGCGGTTAAACCAAAGTTCACAACCTTTGTCATGTAACACGGACAACAGAGGGCCAAGCCAAAGAATGGCGTTTCGCATGGTAGGAAGAGGTCTGAGGTATTTAAAGTCGCCTCCTTTGTTTCAGGGGAAATCGTTGGCTGAAAAATTTGTCGCTGCAGTGGGGAATAGGAACATGAGCCAAGAGAAGCCGATCAGCCGCTTCCCTGTTCCGAATATGGATACATTGCCTGAAGACATGCAGGAGAGAATGAAAGAGGTAGAGGAGAAGGTAGGTGAATAGCCATGGTCACTAGATCGTGTAGAGGTGAAATTGCTATTACAAAAAATTTAAGCCTTACCCGGCGGAAGAACACGGGGCGTTCCTTGATAAAAGAAAACGATACCAAAACAATAGATTACCTTTGGGTCATAGGTATTTTTCTTGAAGAATACACAGTAAATTGTGGTGGATGGTGTCTGATCCAGCTCCAAAAATTGTCCACCTTCACGGCCACAAGGCCAGAAGAGCAGATGTAAGTTTATAATATTGAGTTTTTTGAAGATAGGTGTGAGTGCAGGTTTGGAAAGTCATAGAAGGGTTATGGTTTAGGTCACAGTTTTTAGCCTCCATACACCTGCTCCATTTTGCATAAGACTTTGTGTGGCTACCTTGACAAAACTTAAGTACAGGGGAGGCCAAGTAAACGACCTATGAGGGCCAAGGAAATGTATTCTTAATACATGGAGTAATCGGATTAACTCATTCACTCTCAGAGGTGACCTGGAACTACTTTCTCCTTACAATAATAATACACCATCAAGCAGGTAGGTGATAAGAGTGGAGAAAAACATCAACAAGGGGATTATTTTTGACCTAACAATAATTTCTCAGAAGCCATGTTGTGGGAAATGTAGGCCAGACAGTAAGGAGAATTACTATTCTTGGGGGTAAAGGGTTAAAGCAAATATGATAATGTGTAAAAACAGGACAAAGCTAATTGTGTTTATGGCAATTTCCAGCAGCCTGAGAAGCAGTTCTAGTCGCAAGGTAATCATAAGGGGCAGATCCAAGAATTTTTATTGGATTCCAAAATCACTTCTCCAGTAACCTACGCCCTAATGATTGGACACTGTCAATAAACAAGGTTAGCACTATAGAGTGTATTAACCTTAAACTTAAAACCTGTTTGAGAAATAGAGAAGAAAACAAGCTGTTATTTATCTTATTCCTTTAGGCATGTCTGTCACCAGAAATGAAACTGTACATTTTGCATTTCTTTACTTTCTAGGGTGGTTTTTTACCAAATGTTTTCAAAGTTCTTGCTCATCGACCAGATGAATTCCGAGCTTTTTTTATGTATTATGATGCTCTGATGCTAAAAGAAGGAAACCTTACCAAAGCAGAAAAGAAATGATTGTAGTTGCAACAAGTTCAGCAAACAGCTGTATGTATTGTATTGTGGCTCATGGTGCCCTGTTGAGAATCTACTCAAAAAATCCTCTGCTAGGAGATCAGGTAAAATCACTTAATACCTAAAGGGCTTTCTTAAGAATTCCATAGCTTATCTTATTGCAAATTATTTAGTACATGTACATATGTACTTAACAATTATTCCACGAGTGGGTAATGGATATGAGATGGTAAATAGCATGCAGTGCTGAGTTGGCATGCAGCACTGCTTTATCAAAATTTATTGAAAATTGGAGTATTTGGAGCCTTTTTTCAGCTCTGCAACAGTTGGGGCAAAGCATTTCCACATGAGGTGACTCCAAATTTTAGCTGATAGGCTGGTTGAGTGAATTAATTACAGCACTAGAATTGTAATATCTGGAGTTAAAAATTTGACAAATTTGATAAATTTTGATAAATTATTATAACAAATGTTTTCATTTAGACTGCTATTGAGTCCACTACTATTTTGGGAGTGTCAATAATAGTTGTTTTTATTTTGATTAATTTTTTTATTTGTGGTTTCTATAGATAACAGCCAACTGGCACAGTGCTGACCTCACAGAAAGAGAAAAGGCTATAATTCAGTTTGCAATGCGTGTTTGTAGATCAGAAACAATAGAAGATGAACATATAGCAGCTCTTGAAAAGCATGGCTTGAACACCGAAGATGCTTGGGATGTTGGTGCTATTGCTGGACTGTTTGCATTGTCAAATAGAATGGCTCATTTAACCAACATGCGACCAAATGAGGAGTTTTATTCAATGGGTAGGGTAAAGAAAGAAAAATAGAAATCTCATGTGATAATATTGCAATTATGATATGAGGAGGAATTTTGAATGAAATGGACCCCATATAACTAAGGATAGACTTGCTTCTGTGCTTGTTGAGGAAGCCAAAGGTTATGAAAAAAGTCAGTAAAAAGGCATTGGCGATGGGAAATTTTATGTCAGATGTGTAATTTTTTTTCTTTGTGAACAGCTAATATCTTGAATTTGTACAAAAGCTTACCACCATTCATCATCTATGAAATCTTAACATGAAATAAGGAAGATCTGACAGGCTTGGACCATGTGTATTGCTGTTTTTTTCCAGCATGAAGCAACATGGACTATCTTGATTCCTTCTGAATGAGAAGCTAGTCAGTTGCAGGTAGATTCCTTGCATTTCATGTGCTGTAAAATTGTCAGGAATTAGCACTTTGGCCACAAAATGCCTGTAATGGGATAAGGAAAATACTTAAGTATGGGGGAGAATTTTTTCCTTTTGAAAAGGAATATCATTTTCCTGTAGTTTTCAAATCAGAGTGCTCGTCTACTTGTCATGAAATTTTTTATGGCTCAGATATTCAATTTTTGATAAGTTAAGATGGCTCTGAGCCCTCCAGAAAGAGTTTGTAAACCTCTGCAGACATTTCTTTTATACCCCTTTAAACCCTTTACACCCCAACATCAGTATTCATATTCTCCATACTCTTCTCTGTATTTTTCCTTTGGTACTGAAAAGGAGAATTTGATTATCAAGTTAAAGAATCCTAGGTTGGTGATCATTTTCTTCATTCTCGTGATTTTTATGAACATTTCAGTTGTATTACTGTTAGGAGAATTAAGATGCTGGTAACGTTTAGGGTTTAAAGGGTTCCCAAAAAACGCCAAATCGTGAAAGTATCGATCAAGCAAAGTTGTGATGTAAAATTTGTAACGAAAAGTTTTTGGTACGGGCTTCCACAAGGCTATTAAAATTAGAAATGTGAATGCCCTTTTTGAGTCGTCTTTTTTACGAAACCTGTAAGGACAAATGGACGTCTGACTGAAACAAAACCGTCATCGCGGTTTCATATTGTTTCTCAGCTGATTATAGAGATACTCGCGCTCTGATTGGTCGAGGATTGTGTGAAGTCTCGCTACAATCACCTGACGCGAAGTGTTTAAATTTCATAATGGCTGCTTAGCGCTTAAATTACAATTCTGTCAGATTCTAATGGAAACTGGTTGCCTATCTCAATTCGAGTAACCAAAATAGTCACATTAAAATATGCGCAGTCCTTTCTTTATGTACAAAATGACTGCAACTAAAAAAACGAATTTACCACATAATTCGAAAGCGCGGAAGTAAACAGCAAATAAAAGTTTTACGTCTCTTTTTATGGTCGTGCACTACGTGTTAGACACCTTGCCTTTGTCCTTTGATGCGTCTCAAATTAGAAGCAAGGAATATTAAAATAAAATTTATTCTATTGCGCAGACAATCTTATGGATGATAAGCTTAAACGATTTTTTTGTCTCAGGCTCAGTGAATATTGCTGACTTATCCCCCAATATTCGTCTCGGGGATTATTAAAAAGTATTCACTTTGCCTTCTGCGAATAATCCATATTTTCAGTCCGTACTGAAAACCGAGAAAGGGCTAAAATGGCCGAAACAAATGAATACGCCTGATCGACATTTTGAAAAAGAGAGCAACTAGAATGCATATATTTATGTTTGAAATTCGCACATTCATTAAATAATTTCCATATTACGAATCGGTGGACCTGAAAACCACAACAAAGGTTCCCCTGTATTCATGAGAACGCTGTTAATTTTTAAACAGTTGATTACATTAGTTTGCGGTGTATTTTTCAGTGCTGCTTCGTAACTGAATCTTTGTGATACCACAGTAAGGTAAAAAGCAAAATCATTGTTGAAACGAAGGAGGATATGGATACCTCGACTAGGAAAGCATTTTTTCACAAATTACAGTCAAATCCGCGCTGGATAGACCATGTGGTACCAATGTTGCAAGCTGAAAATGGAGAAGGAGACACTGCGAAGGATTCGCCCTTCGAATTAGTGGAATCAGTCGTGAATATTCTCTTAAGCGCTGTGGCACAATACGACTCGAAGTTTTCATTCCAACCTGTCGATGCGTCAAGTTTCTTCACGGAAAAGGAGAGGAACCATTTTGAATTGCTTCTTTTCCTTAGTTCAGACAGCCTTCGCCCTGCCGAAATACGTTTGCAACAAGAAGGATGTTCTCCGGGTGTCACGCTGGTCGAGGTGATTCAAAACACGCACACTCTCAACACATGGAAAAGTGAATGCAGCAGATCTTCTTCCGGACAGGAATATTTGTCATCGAAAATGTTACGAAATGCATTTTCTAATCTTCTGTCCATATTGCTTACAGACATGTTATATTTGCAGCTATACCATAACAAAACAACCCGTGGCATTGAGGTCAGGAATATTTCTTCTGACAATGAGGTCCGTGTTGAGATTGACTTCCGAGGTTTGATACTAACTGTTGACTTGTTAACTGCTATTGATTGCGAAGGTTTATTGCCGATTCACACTTATCCTTCAAAAGGAAAAAAACTGGGTCACAAAAGAAACTCGCCTTCTAAACGGAAAACAGTTAACTGTGGGATTCAGCTGGTTTCGAAAGCTACCTCGGTGGAGTATCATTGGAGAATTTGGTATTGCAAAGCAGAGAGATTTGAGCTCGATTTCAAAAGATTTCCTCAAAGATGGGAAAGTTTTCAGCTCTTTAAAACATTGGTTTACAAAAAACTTGGTTGCAATTTTCTTAAGCCATACCTATTACAGACTGTTTTGTTACACGAATGCGCAAAATTTTCTGATGTAGATCAGTGGACCGAAGAGAAACTCCCTTCTCGTTTTCATGGTCTCGTCGAGGTTTTAGAGTCGTTCGCTCGTGATAAGAATTGTCCCCATTTCTTCATTCCGTCTTTAAACTTGTTCACTGAAATAAGCAATGAAGATCTGAAGGGCTTATGTAGAAAGATTAAATTCATCAGAGAAAGATGTGGAAAAGTTAAAGGGCAAGAAAGCTTTCTGGAAAAAGATTGAGTCTTCCAATTATTGCGAATAGAAAACAGATGGTTGTAAATGACCGTGGATGTTTTTTTAATAGGACTTATTTTTGTATTTATATGTCAAGTTATTCTAATATTTTTCTGAATCTGCGACGGAAAGGCTTTTGAGTTTCACCTACTGATTGGTTGTGATTCTTAGCAAATATGTAGCTAGTTATGGTTTAGTTCAGAAATCTGGGTATTTGAATCGTGCAAGTGTTTGTCAAGACAAAGGTGGGGTACTAAAAGGAATGTGTTCTGATATATTTTTGTTTGAGTAGAAAATAAAGGGGAAAAATTATTTTCCGATTGGTTTGTTGGACATTGCTTTTGAAATTTTGGTGGCTCTTAAAAGAGCCGTTTGGTTTTTCCTCAGAAGGCAATTTACTGCTTGCTTCTCTTTTCGGATTTCTTTGGAAGAAGAACAGCTTGGATGTTGGGGAGAACACCTCCTTGAGCAATAGTGACCCCACCAAGGAGCTTGTTCAGCTCTTCGTCATTCCTGATGGCGAGCTGAAGATGTCTTGGGATAATTCTGGTCTTCTTGTTGTCCCGTGCAGCGTTGCCGGCAAGCTCAAGGATCTCAGCGGACAAGTACTCGAGAACGGCTGCCATGTAAACTGGAGCGCCCGCACCGATTCGCTCCGAGTAGTTTCCTTTACGTAAAAGACGGTGTACTCTGCCAACTGGAAATTGAAGTCCAGCTCGAGATGAACGACTTTTGGCTTTGCTACGGCTTTTACCTGACTTTCCTCGACCCGTCATAATAAAATAGAAACCCCTTAGCTTAATTTTCTAAACTTACAGATCTCTCAAGGCAGTTGAAGGAAATTTCTTCCATGCTTTATGAATGCAGATGGATCGAAATGCGCCAATAAGATAAGTAATTGCATCTGCAGGTCAGCCAATCATGAAACAGCAAAATAATTTGTTTCCTCGGGCGGCAAATTTATATTTGGCCAGCCAATCGAATTTCAGCAATTTCGATCCCAGCAATTTTTGATCCTGTGGTTTTTGCTATAAATTTCTGTCCGAGTGTATAGCCAAATTCGTTGAATGTACTAAAGTTATCATTCTTACCTGAGGTTTGTGGTGAGTATTCTTAATTATCAGGAGAATGCCTCCCAAAGCAGGTGCAAAGAAGGCTAAGAAAATGAGTGGAAAGAGAGCGTCAGGTGATCGGAAGAAGAGAACCAAAAAGCGAAGAGAAAGCTACTCCATTTACATCTACAAAGTGCTCAAACAAGTCCACCCCGACACAGGAATTTCCAGTAAAGCTATGGGAATCATGAACTCTTTCGTTCATGATGTTTTCGAGCGGATTGCCGGCGAAGCATCCCGCCTCGCCCACTACAACAAGAAGAGCACAATTGGTTCTCGTGAGATACAAACGGCGGTTAGGTTGCTGTTGCCCGGTGAGCTGGCTAAGCACGCTGTGAGTGAGGGAACAAAGGCGGTCACCAAGTACTCTAGCAGCAAGTAAAGTGTTGTTTGACCGCAGCACACAAAACGGCTCTTTTAAGAGCCACCAAATGTAAATAAAGATCATGACCAATGAGTGATAATACTTTCTGCAATCCACGCGCGGTTCCTTTTAAAAGTCTAAATCACCTAACTTTCAGGAATATGATCGCTCACAAATTCAATCACTTTTAATTGGTTACAATTTAAATTACTGAATTCCTGTGTTTGAAATGTATCATTTGGTGTACCACAAGTTTTCAGTGTACGTCATCATAGTAAAACTATGAAAATTGGTTACCATTTTTATCAACTAAATATACCACTGTCAAAAAGATTCTTCCGACCACGTTGATACAATTTCAATCAGTGTATTTCATAATTGATTCCTCTTTGGTACAAAACTATACACTTTGGCTGCCTTTCAAACTAAAAGGTAAATATGACCAAAAAACGTAGTGTTGACAACCTCATAAATAAGCAAATAACCATTCTGAAAAATTCAGTCTCCAAAACATGAAAAAATTAAACAATACCTTCCATATTATTGAACGGTACAAGTTGTATTGAAGGAAAGATATAAAAAAATATGCTCCCATAAAGATTATTACAAAAGTCATGAGGGCGACATTTTCTTGCTGTCACGCAAAACTTAAAGGTGGAATGCGTGACGCCATAATGACCTTTACGCCATTGCATACTTCATCGCATGCAACGAAAACAGCAAGTTATAGGAAACAAGTGGTTCTTCGATTTTCAATAAGGAAATAAACACGTCATCATCATCGTGAACAACAAAATTAGATTCATCTCGCTAGCCAATAAAATACATAAAAAGCCTATTTCTTAGTAATATAAATAAGAAATATTTACTCTTTAGAAAAGGATCTTCATTTTCCACTAGGAGAAGCGTCACACTTCAGGCTAGCTACACTTAAGGCTCGCCTGTATTCCAGTGTAAACGCCGCCGACCTAACTCATCCCATTCATCCATTCCAGATTCTCTGACTTTAACTCAATATCTTAAAGATCACTTAAATTAATATTCATTCATATTGTCAGAAGTTCCATAAAAATCTCATTAATTAAAATTCATAAACTCAAATAAGTCATCAGTAGCGCTAGGGAAATATTAAAATGCAGCAAAAAAGGTGTAAACTCTTTACTATTCAGGTCACAATATATCTCTAACTCTCTTTTCTCCCTCATAAGTAGTTACAGGTGAATTTCTCACACGAATGTTATTCGCAAGTCTTCCTTTTCGTAAGTGACGTAAGGGTCTAGCTTAGGAATATCGCTGTCCTGTCGACTTCTACGTTTCTCCTGATCTGTGCTTTTACTTCTTGGCACGCTTCCCGAGTTGGTTATCAGCCGTTTAGATGCACTTTCCATTGACGGTCTTTGACCCGCATGCGGAGTCACATTTTCTGATAGTGATTCCTCGACAAGAGTCCTATCGTTTACCGAAGATGGCGTGATCGTTTTGTTTAAGTTCGAAACAGTTGGCGTCACAGAACCTAGAGTGGACGCCTGTGTGGTTGCATCCAGACGGTCCTCACTTAGCACGCGTTGGGATAAATTTGTCAAATTGGACGAGTTCAAACTGCTTACTCTAACATTCGGCGTGATCGGCTGTTTAATGTAGTTTAAAGGTCTCTGGGAATCTTTCCCTGGCATGTCAACATACGCTACGGTCCCAGCAAAACTTGCACTGTTAGCTCTGGCTGGTGGAGTGTTATTTTGGGAGTCTGATATCAGCGAGGATCTTTTAGTGTCTCGATCCTCGGGCGAGCGAGAGGTTTTCTCTGGTGAAGCACAAATCGAAGGAGGCGGAGAGAAATCGGCTATTTGAAGGTCATACATTGAGCCCGAGGGTGGGGTAGGAGGGGGAGGGGGAGGGCTTGCAACTCTTGAACTACCAGGGTTCGGTGGTGATTCTACTCTTTCAGTCGACGACACCGGTGTGTTTTCAAGTCCTGCTAAAAGTTCCTTAGGGTTGTGAATAGGTTTAGGTCGGGGTCGGCGGTCCATACTAGAAACTGTCCTCCGAGGAACTGGAGGGGGGCCTCCTTCAGATGGAATATGTACCTCAGCTCTCTGGGAGTTCACCTCGGGCAAACTGTATGCCGAGAAAAGTTTCCGTTGAGGGATATCTACGGGGGTACTTGAATATTTCACCGAATTATCATACCCTTTCAACAATGTCCCTTCGTGATTCGGATCCGGTCTCACATCGTAGATTGCAGGTGATATGTCTCTGATATTCTGTGAGGATTTAGATGAAACCCTTCCAACTGCCTGCGGTTTGACGCTTCCTGTAGAGGGAATATGCATAATTTGATCCACAGTATTGCGCCGTGGATTTGTAGCGTAATGCATTCCACGCAAGCTATTTACAGTGACAGGTTGCGATGCTTGTGGCCGTATTGACGGGTGAACATGAGCAACGTTCTTCCGAGGTTCCGCGTCAGCGACAGGTTGTGGGCGATTGCTCGTTTCAACTCGTATCCCGTGCGGAGTAGCCTCCATCGCGTACACATTAGCATCTGTACACGATCTGGGTCTCGGTGTGCGTTTTTGTTTCTCCTCTGAGTTAACAGCTAACTGGGAATTCTGTGCCTGCTGCGGTTGCGGTCTCGAGTTAAAATTGAAGTCTAGAAGAATTTCGTTCGGTTCAGTTTGCTGATCAACTCTCGGCGATGGGTTCTTCTTGGTTGGTTCCGTTTTCTTGGATAACTTTGCGGCTAGCTCTTGCATCAAATCCATTTTCTCTACAGGACGATCGATTGGTGTCGATAGTGTTTTCTTCAAGACAGGCTTCGTTACGTTCCTCTCTGAAGTTCTGAAAGCGTGAGGAGGATGAGGTACCTTAAAATTCTCATTTCCTTGAGCTGACTTATTGCTGGCTGGAATTTTGAGAAAATCTGGCAACTCTAAGTTTCCCTTTAGTTCGCCTCTCTGATCATCCATTCTGTTTGCCTGAGCACGGCTGATGAGGTCGAAGAAGTCTGCAGAGGAAAAACAAACAAAAAAATAATGAAAACTTGCCTGAAACGGTGCACAGCAGGTTAATGAAAACAGGCGAAATAAATTTGCTGCTTTGACACTGAAACTGCGAAGTAAATCGCATTAACACATCTTTGAGATCAAAGCCAATCGCCTACGTGGTGTCTTTGAAGTAAAAGAAACTTAGTAGCAGTTATTTGCTAAAAAGCTTACAATCGCGACCGCAATCCTTATCTTCAACACATTTGTGACAATTCGAGAAGAGAATGCGCGTGCTAACAATGAACGTTTATCGAGGTAAACAGAAGGAAAAAGGACACCGTTTCCCTCGAGTGATATTCCACAAACTGCGCAAAGCAAGTAGACTTAGAAGTACTACCATTAAAAATTGCAAAAATAAATTAGCTTGCCTTTGCCGAATAAAAAGTTCACATAAACAAGCAGCGGTTTGACCGACCCTTCCAAGCAACAATGCAAATTAAATAAACCTTCCGGAAAACTATGGCAACACTGACGCAGAGAGAAAATGTGACAGGTTGGTGGTAAAAAACAAAAGAAAATTCAAGTGTTTTAGCACTCAAATAGCGAATCAGAATGCAATATCAAAGTGCTTGGTTGCACCTGGCGTAAAAGGAAAGCTTACAAACACCAGAGGGTGGTGAAACAAGTCACCTTGTAACATGGAAAATTTGAAAGTTTTCGTTTTTGCGAATTGACCTCAATCAGCAAAAAGAGGTTTTAGATAGAAAAAACTCTGGCTAGGTAAGACTAAGCTTATACTTGCTAGGAAGGTTATCCTCAGTGGAACGCAATTGTCGCACATCATATTCGCAAATGAAGAACATGTCGCTGTGGATCAAAGTGACTACAAGGTAGTTCGTTATATATAATTTTACACATGTTCAAAAAAGATTTTGTTGTAGCTTCCGAAGAACAACATACTGAGAGAGGATGGACACGTTTTTCCGTTCAAAGTACTCCTTCTCAGCTGGGTTCTAACACTGACTGGTCTTATGAAACCTGTCAGAGTTATAACTAAGCCGAGCAAGAAATAAATGTTAAAAAAAGTCTCACAATATTAACAACAATGAAATCAGCACTAAGCAGACCCTATTTTCAAGCTGACACCAGGATGGGTCCCGCAAGTGTCTGCTGATCAAAGCTTTCACTGTATATTGTATGCCTCCACTGACTGAATGAATGTGCCGTTGTTTGCTTCGACCAGTAGGAAAAACAAATTAATTAACGTTTGGGCGTGGCATGTATGTAAGTCCTATCCAATAAATGAAATTCCCTCATATGAATTATTGGCGGCGATCAGAGCTAAACAAGCATGTATACCTTTCACATCAGAGGTTTTTTCGTTTCCGAAGCGGCCACTTTTACTAACAACTGTTACAATCTTTTCCTGTTCGCTGCCTTCTCTTCGCTTTCTTGCAAACAATCCTTGGGCCTTCAATAAACTCTTTCCAAAGCTTCCATCTCCACGGTACAGCTCCTCCTTCAATGAATCCTCACTCGGTGAAGACTCAGGAACCCAGACTCCCAGTTGGTCAAAGTGTCCGTCGCCAAGAGCTTGTCTCTTACCGCGCATGACCTCTTCAAAAGCGAGATCGTCAAACGTGTTCCTTTTGTTTTCCCGCCGCGGGGGGCGCGTGGAAAGAACTTGACGAGGGGGAGACTGAGCGTTGATATTTCCTGTGCCGAAAAAACAAACAAACAAACAAACAAAACATTAAACAGTAAGAAAACTAAATTTCTTGAAAAAGTTGTCGAGTCTCCAACCATATAAATGGTTTGAAACCGGGAATTCACGCAGCTGTTCTTGAAGAACCTTCGAAAAGGGATTGTTACTCCGAGTCTCGCTTTGAAAACCTGAGCGAAGGCTCTCTTCGATCCTCGATGGCAATAAAACCAAGGATTGTTCGCTAATGTAAAACCGTGCCTTCTAGACAATAACCCTTTCCAATCCCAAGAGTGACCAAGACATAATTTCTCCTAACAGTATCAACACAATGCCGAGCAAAAAAGTGTTGAGAATATAGAATATTAACTAAAGGATTTTTCCATTAGATCCAACATCAAATTCTCAAAACCAAATTAAAACGAAAGGTACTGCAGACAGTAAGGAGAATTTTAATCAAGATATTGGAAGTTAAAGAGTTAACATAACAGATACTACGCACTATTAAAGGAGTGATTTCATTTCGCTGTAAGCAATAGTTCTCAGAAAGAACCCTTGTTTATATGTAAACATCGAAAAGAAAGCTATTAAATAAAATCTTCATGCGGTTCAGTTTGAACAAGATGACTGTAACAGTGGTGTTCACCCTCGTGGTTTCAGTCTTATTAGTCTGTTTTTGATATTCTTTGGGTTGCTGGATCTGAGGCATAATTGTGACGGTCAAGGCTATAACAGCTGTGTTCCTTCAGTTTAGTACCTGCTGTGTTTTTGTTCGTGAGAAACAATTCCTAATTAACGAATCCTATTTTAGTTTGCCGCACCGACATCCAGAGGTCATAATGGTGCAGAATGATATGTATAGGCTATCATAGGAGATTCAATTATCTGACAGTAGATAGATGTGTAAGAAGGATTTCGTTTCAGAAGCGAAAAATCGATGAACACCGTTTATATGTCTGCATTTCAAATGTTATTTTTCATCTCGTCACCCACATCGACAAACAAGTTAATGACTGAAACGACTTCGGCCGAAGTTAAGGTAAACATTGTTTTCAAAAAAGGATCTATGTCACCATATGTAAAGGGAAAGTTTTCGATAAATGAACGAACTGTTATGATACAAGAAAGGCTGCATCACATTGCTAGCTTTGTTTGAAAGCGGAAACTAGGAACAAGATATGAAAATAAATCCGGGGAAGAACTTTTAGCTTTCTAGGAGGCTTTTTTTAAAGGACATCGATTCCTTACATAGCCAAGGAAAAAAAGATAGAGGAGTTTAACGTTAATAGTCTACATGCAGTAGTATTTCGCAAAATAAAAATTTGCCTCGTGCGAAGAAACAGTTAATTTTACAGTTACTAGAGACGAACAATAAGTATAGCCACCTGCTTCATCCACACTCAACAGTTTGACACACATGTAAATTAAATAAATATTTCGGAGAATTTTAGAGTTATCGCAGTCTTTCTTTATAAAAACGTGTAGGACATAATTTAATAAACACGTCAATGCAATACGAGAAAGTGTATAATCCTTATCAGACTACTCTTGAGTGTAAACCATTCACAAAAAAGGAAAAAATCCAATTGATCAATTCTGACCGAAGAAAACTCGACAATACAGTACCGGCAGCGCACAAAGGTGAAGGAAGCCATGAAAAAACAATCACATTTTGCTTTAAATATCTTCCTGGGAAAGAGTCCCGCGTTGTACTGAGAAACTTTGATCGACAACAATAAAACTAAGAAACCCACAAAACAATGTCGATGTGTACAACTTACCATTTACCGCAAATTTCAACATCGGTAGGAATTTGGAAAATTCAGGGCACTGGAGAAGTTGATCTCAATCTATCTCCTTTGTTTTCTGTTCAAGAATCCGCAGAGAAGGAACACAAAACAAAAACCGAGTCGCGAAACATTCGCAGACAAACACGTCAGATCTGTTTAAGGCGTCTTACAGATTTGGTTAGCTTTACAGGTAGGTGAGAGATAAACAGCTGGCAAACAAAAGAAAATTTGATTGTGCCAAAAACCACCCAGAGGGTGCGCCAAGAGATGAAAAACAACGAAGTTCATCTGCGGAAGTGTTTAGCGAACGCGTTCTCAAATAACATGCACCTTCACAACTAGCAGATGTTTAGTCCAATATATATAATATGCATGACGTTTGTTAGTTTGGGTAGAGAAACTTAGGAAACTGAAGCTCGTCAAATTGATATCCGACGGCCAGGTTTAACATCAAAAGTTAGTCTAAACTTGAAATGATAAGTTCTGAATCTAAATATACCAACTAGCATAATCAAAGACGACAATTTTTCTGACACTATTAATAATAAAAAGATTTTGAAAGTTTTGTTTTTCACATACAGTCCATTTAAGTTACCTTCGACGGCGAACAACTTTTAAGTATGAGCGGATTAAATATGAGCGTATCTTATAACCCGAGAGAAATTTTCAAAATAAAAAAGATGGGCATTGGGAAGGCCTTTCTGGCGAAGGTGGTTCATAAACGGTATCTCATGACTCGAGAGCATTTTTCGGAAATGAAAATATCGGCGGCACATAACCAAAGAGAAGGCCTTTGAAACGAAGGCGGCTTATAAATGACATTTTACAGAATTTCGGGTGGACGCAGATAGGATAACCTATCTCGGTTTATGTAAGTATTAGGCACTTTTCAAGGATTACGACACGACCATCTCTCGATTCGTCACTTGAAATCTTATCACCTCCCAGTTTTACCAATTCGAAGTTCTGCCATTAAGATCACGCTAAATACTCAAAATAAACAAACAGGTTTTATAAATAGCACACCGATAACTGCAATAATGTATTTACACCTTGCATTAAAGGAAAATTGTTACTTTCTCCAATTACGGAGCCAACAAAAGAGGACTACAACAGAAGAACCTTGAACAGTAGTCTCTACCTGTAAGCTGTTCCTCGGTTTCCACAACTACGAGTTGATGCTCAATAGAGGCTGCTGGGATTCCAGGATCCAAGGGCACTTCGCATCCCGCCTGTATATAGGGAAAAGTGAACATTAGAGAAAGCTTCGAGCACTTTTCCACTGAGTAGCGTTGAAAAGCGAAAACCAAACTAAAGTAATCCCAAGGAGCGAAAGAAAACTCAGAGTAAGTCAGGCAAACTGCCTAAAGCGCGAGAAAACGCGCACGATCAAGTCTTAAGTTCTGCACCTGATTAGTTACGAAGATGGCGCGAATCTTTTTTATCACACAACGTTGGAAAGCGCAAAAAAGAAATGCCATCCTGGGTTTCTTGCGACCCTTCACTGAAAATTTCTCTAAAGGATCTCGTAGAAAGATCTGACACGGTAAAGAATGTCCTTTGTTTTCATATGGGAGAGGCGGTGTTTGTTTCTTTACATGTATTTACCACCAAGATTTTTTTTAAAAACGTTAAACAGAGTTTTTGTTATCAACAATGCCTAACAAAAGCGACATGAAAGCAACGCACCAAATGAGTGATCACATGATTAGGAGACAATCCTTGACGATAGAGAATGGGCTCCAAACAAGCCTTCACGCTCTGATCGGGTTTGACCTTGACGCACAGGATCCCACCATCCGGGAGTTCCAACCTACAACGCACGATATTAAAAGCCAAGTGAGGCAATACCCAGAAACAACACACATGGTTAAACGGGATTCGGCGAGTTGCTGTTTCCTTTCTTTTGGGTGTATGTTCGCTAATGCAAACGTACGTGGTCCCTAGTTCTAGCCATGAGAACAGCACTGAGAAAAGCTGGTCGAAATGGAATGCATTAATTTCCAGGTTGCGCTAAAGGCCATTTGCGAGATGTTCAGGGCCTCTGTTTTAAAAGAAGGTGTGAGTGCGAAGCAAGTAGCCATTATTTACTCTCCAGCACCTAAATCTAATTTAAACAAGAAAGGCTTTGAACTTGGTCTCATTTTGAAAATGGCCCATACAACAACGATCCCTATCATGTTGGTAATTCTCCCATACAGATGCTATATATAGACAATTTGGTATTCTATCAAAATAACACCAAAAAGCTCATAAGTCCGTCTTCTCTTGTAACCTGCCTGTTAGATAATGTATTTATATTGTAATCACTTTCCTGCGTCAAGTTTACCTGAAAAGCGTTCTGTATATCAGGACCACCTCTCTGCCGCCCATGATAGACATGTCCTCATCCAGTTCCTCTAGAAGGACAAGCTACAAACACAGAAAGATTGTGAAAAACGAGTTGTGATTCCTGTTCTCGAGTATTTCCTATTTAAGCGGGGATTTACCTCTTATTTATCACCCAAACATTCAGTCATGCCCAAGACGTAAGAGATAAATCATGAAGTACTGTTTCTCTTCAGGATAAGAACGACTCAAGTTGAACCAAGGTGCTGTTGTTGCTGGAGGCTTCATCTATGAGATTTCGATTGTCCGTTCGAAATCATTAACTACCACCCAAAATGGCTTAAATTTCAACCACACTTTTGAGGTGGGTCTTTCGAGGAACAGTCGTCGTATGATAAGCTGAATCCTACACGCATTTTCATTGGTTCTTACGCGTGACGTCATATGATAACCTGAATCCTACACGCATTTTTTCATTGGTTTTTACTCTTGACGTCATATACTGAGCTAAATCGTACACGCATTTTCATAGGTTCTCACTTTTGACGCCATATGATAAGCTGAATCTTACACGCATTTCTTTGGTTCTTACTCGTGATCTATTTGAGGACAGACGCATGGGTGACGTCGCTATCAACAACATTTTGCGTTTTTATCATTCAAAACAAATCGATTCCATGTTGCCATGGGTCTGTAGAGTAATAGATCACAAAGGACGTCGAAATGTGGAAAAAGCATCGGTGATTTTCTTCTTACAACATTTTAACGTCATCCGTCATCTGTTACTGAAAATGCACACGGCAACATGCGATCTATTTGTTAAATAGACAACGAAACAGGACACTTGCAAGGTCACCAAAACACTCGATCAATACTTATTTAAAGCGCATTTTTTTGATAACAAATAAAAAACCCTGAAGGTCAGGGTGAGGACGATATCTTATCTCTACCGGAAAGATGCATCTCTTTTATATAATACAAGAGAGGATTAACACAACACTTTTACGGTCACAACCAAAGTCGATCAATACTGAGGACACCTTGCGCAAAACAAGTGGAGCAAACATGTCAAAGCCCAAAGAAACAAAGATACCTTATCTCCGCCGCCAAGAAACACCTCATTTGCGACAAGTGAGAGGTGTCTTCTTTCGCACAGTTGCATTAGGGCTTGGCGTAAGGTTTGACCTTCCTTGCAAAGTAGAATGGTGGATGAATGGTCCGGTAATATCACTCTACAGAACTGGAATGACTCACTTTCCCTCCTCTGATCCACATTTAGAGACTGCGTACAAACAACGTCAAAAACGGTTATTGTTATTGTATGCACAAATAGTTAAGTATACGAACACTTCAACCTCTTAAAGTACTTCCTTCGTCTTTTAACCTTGTTACCACGTCACAAGTATATGGTGGAAAATTTGTCAAGTGCACTTAATAGGAAAAAAGAATTTCCGGTACTTTTTTATGTGAAGTGTGAAGCAGAGCATATCGAAAAGAAAGAAATACCGTTGAGAAAAAGTAAATAGATATAACAGACGTACTCCATTGTAAAAAAACAGAATTGTCACATTCCCTACATTATAAAGAGAAAAATGATTTCTAATTGCATCCGAACTTGATCGAAAGACTTGCCAAAGTTTCTCTGGGTTTGTAATCCAAAAACATACGCACAAATTTCTCTATTTCGTTCTTTACTCTGATTGTTCTTTGTGAATAATTCTGACATATATCTCTCTTGTGTTTTATGTCTACCAACTATTATTAAGGGTCTCCTTCAATTTAAAAGTAGTTTGTCTACCCACAAATCAAATATAGAATTTAATAATTTAGGGAAATAAACAAGATACGTAAGCGTCGATGGTAAAAGAAGTAGCCTCTGTCGCGGACGAAAAAAATCAAGACACGACAACTAATATGTTTATATTTAACAAACAAAATAACGAAAAAGTTTCCAATAACCAACCATGGCAAGGAGTTCTTGCCTCGCTTAAAGTACAAAACTTGATGTTTTTCCGCTATATTTTATTGCGCTATACTGTATTAAAAATAAATTCGCATGGTTACTACCATTTGAATAAAGCAGAAGACCCAGACTTAACACAACAATATAAACAGCAAAGCTAATGAGTTACAATATAGTAAAAAAATCTTGTATTTGTTTCAGCGCCTGTCTTTTTCATTAATCAACAAGGTACTAGTCGTAAAAGTCAGAGTCGACATTTCAGGGACAAACAATCGCAGTCGCAGACTATTTGGTGAACATGTGCGTGATGTAAAACACGCGTGACGGATGCCCACTTAATGAAACAAGAAGCGTGAGTGACATTGTACAAGAAGACGATTTATGAACACGAACCTCTGTCGAATAACTAAAACGTGGGACTGAATCCGACAGCGAGGAGAGAGAACTTCGAGCACTGCCAGGTTGGCTGCCAAAAGATCTGTCACCTGGAGAAAATTATACAAGTAACAATGAGCAAGTCACACCAAATTCAAACATTCAATGCGATATCCAACTACAATAAACTGTACAACCGTAAACTAAGAAAGGATCAAACAAAAAGTACATCGATATTACAGCGACTAGTAAAGCTCGATGTGAATAATTGACGAGTAAGTATCCAGAGACACATAAAAATAAAAATCACCTTAGGCCGACAGGCAGCCCTCCACAGCTCATAAAAAGGAGGGCCACAACTGAATCTAAACAAAGGTCTCATAACTTACTATCGTGGTCCCATGGTCTTATAGGAGGGCCTGTGTACAGATTTTCAGCCCTTCTAGAAATCTGAAACTTCAACATTTCTATCGTCTTCGAGTCAGAATTCGCGCGATCGACATAACCCGGGATTTGATTTTGTTCGAAGCAGTAAAACAACTGTCGATCGTTGATGCGAGTGGAAATAATTATGCTAGTTAGGAAAATGAGCAACCAATACTAACCTTTTTTGACGTGTTTTCCTGCAAAAGAGAAGGAGGAGCATTATTATCAAGTAAGTACCAGAAAACAAAAGCAATATCCTTTCTAAGCAAATTGACGACCATTAAAAGAGACATAAACGTCTTATGATTGTTCTGTTAAACAAAAGGTATGCTTTTCACTTGTGAGGGCTGATGACTTTAGCGAACTATAAAAAGAAAAGAAATGGCTTTAACGCAGATCATAAATTTAGTTCATCCTCATTTACACCGTTCTATTCTTTGGACCTTAAAATAGCGGGCTTCGACTCAAATTTTAAATCCAAAACGTTAATTTGGATAAAATCCGAAACTAAAAAGGCCAATCTGTAGTCTAAACCAACGACAAATTTCATTGGAATGCATATAATATCATCATATATAAAGATCAGCACTATTTTTGTAAATTAATATAACAACACAATATTCTGCTCTGACTGAAAAAGTTTCGCGCATTACTAAAGACAAACTACCGGAAACTAAGTTGCGTTAAAATTGGTGGGCATTCCTCTGGCGGCTCCAAGGGGCATTTTCTGGCTTAACCGCTCGTAAATATTTCTTTCTCTCCGCGAGCCGGCAGAACAAACATGTTATGAACGTTCTGACCAAAAACCGTCACCAAGATTTTCAGTGATTTACTTCAAAAGAACGACATCATATCACCGAATATTCCCAATATCAAGGCTGTCGTTCGAGTGTTTTTTTTTTTAAAACTAAAATGGGCATTTTAGTAAAAAAAAACTTACCAGAAAAACAAATATGTAACGTCAAAATATAGGGAAACGTGTAACACTAGTATTTTATAGTACGTTTTCTTCACAGTGTAAACATGAACACAATTAAAGAAATAACAAGGACTTGAAATTATAAGACCAACAATATCAGCCACACTAAAGCCAGATTTTTGACTAAACAAACACTTATGTTTAAAGACCAGAATATATTTCTGCATAGAGCAATTCAATTGAGAAGTGGAGGCTTTCCTAAGTAATGTTCGTTTTACCTAAATTAGCTTTGTAAATTGCGTGGAAAACTCGTGCCGCCCTCTTTACTCAGTAATCGGATGCAAAACTAAAACCAATAGCGACTTTGAAGCTGTTTGAAGCTGTTTGCTTGTTTTTGTTCTGAGTTCATGTACGCTTCTTGTGTATATTTTTCCTTTAAACTGACAAGCCAATTGACGAAATCTAATTGGAATTAGTTAAACCGTTCCATAAAATATTTAATGGAAGCCCTTCATTTCTTCAACGACTCGCAAACGCGTAAGTTCCGATCGGCATATACCGAAAAAAAAAATCCGTCCTTGAGGGCTGCACGTTTTACGATAGATAGTTCAGAAGGAATTCTAAAGAAAAGAAACAGTTTAAGGGTACACTGTATATTTGGACCGACTCATTTTCTTGGAAAGACATGACAACAAGACAGAACTTTCGTGTGTAAGTAACTTGTGTTCTTCGTAACTTTTGCACACTGTCTTATTGTCATGTTGTTTCCTTAGAAGCAAAAAACAACCATCTTAAAGCTCGTGACTTTAAACAATTTTTTTCTACCACACTTAATACAAGATTGACCATATACAACTTTCAGCACACTATATCCAGCCACTATTCACCAGAAGCATGCACCATATTCAGTCAATGTGTCGACAAAGTAAGCATCGTACATTTTTTTCGTGGTTGTTGTGGTAATTTTTGGACAACAAAGCGGATTGACACAAGGCAGAAAACGAAATGAGTCAATGAAACAGTCATCAATACAACTCCACACAAAGTTTAAGAGACAAAATATTTAAACTTGCTCTCTAAGAAGCAAACTTACCTTTCCAAGGAAGAATCGACTTTTTCTTGTCGCCGTCCATCCCTGAAGTGGATCTTTTGCTGCTGTGTTTACTTCCCCAGCTGCGTCCTGAACGCTAAAAATATTAAATTTAGATCAAACAGATTAAAAAGTTATTATTTACATACACGACAACAACACGATGAGGCAAAAAAGATACAAACAAACGTATGCAATTTTTTGCAAATATGACACGGCAATGAAAACGCGCGGGAAAGGACGCGGAAGCACATGTAAGCAAAGCCGTTACTTGCTTCTGATTGGCTAAAAGTGACACGCTACGATTTGGGAAAATCCTAATCGCTTCTGTCCTGCAAGTAACGTTTACAGTGATGAATTCACTCTAAAAAAAAACTAAAATACATTTTTAAAAAATTAAACTAGACAAGGTGTTCCTTAAAATCTGTGTTTATGTGTCAATTTTACTCGTATTCTTACGTTACACTAAATAAGTGGTAGAACTTCTAGAAAGACTGCCAAGTTTTAAGAAGTTTCTTTGCAAAAGGCAATGAGGAAAGTGACATCTTGTTTAATTTTCAACTGTAAGATAACATTTAACCTTTCAACTAGTTTAGACATCTTAGAAAGTATTTTAAATGGTTCAGAGTTGTTTTATTTGCAGCTGTTCATTACCTGTCCTTCAAGACTAAAACTGCTTCGACTGCTGCTGCTGGAAAATTCAGATTCTTCAGAAGAAGGATTTAGCAGTGGAACCTACAATTTCAGTGTTATTAGCGGTTTAGATTTATCAATGAAATCAAATACTGCTCATATTTGTTAACATCGCATTTACCCTTTATACTCTAACATTGGTACCACCACAGTCATATCCTCCACACTGTTCTCTCTATTTTCTTTTAGTAATACCAAGAAGAATTTGTTTGACGAACAGGAACTTCTTAAATTGGCGATCATTTCCTTTACTCTCATGAACTTAACATGTGATTCAGGGGTTATACTGTAAAGAGAGATTAGAAGCCAGTCACTCTTACGGGTTAAGGGATGAACCAGCTTAGTAAGAATATTTCCAATACAACAGAGCTTTGGGTCTTTCAGCATTCATTGAATAGAGACCATTATTTTTACTGCATGCATACTTAAACATTTAAGAAAATATCAAGCGATATAACCCAATTATTTCAAAAACATATTCAAGATGCCTAATGCAATTTAATTGAAAGTTTGGAAAATTTACTCATTGTTTCACGTTAGTTAAATCCCAAGGTTTTGAAAGAGATTTCAGTGGTTAAATTAGCTACAAACCTTTTATACATATCTGAGACAATATCTTATGTGAGACAGCTTTAGATTTAGAAGCAATGTTTTACTGGTTAGATAAGTGTATCTAAATGCAGTGGGTGGGTTAGTTTAAAGGCTAGTTGAAAAATCCCCATGATTACAAGTTTATCAATGATTTTATAATTTTTCCAGTGCCTTCTTGATTTTGAGAATTATTAAATCCAAAAGAAAACTACTGACCGACAATATAAAGGGGAATAAGGAGTTAGCACACCTCCCATCTGTGGGTGGTCTACAACCTTCTAATCAACATTCTAAACAAAAATCTTGTGAAGTATCTCTTATAAATTACTAAAAAGTCTCCCCTTCCCCCCAGAAACAAAGTTGCCTGAAATTAGTGACCATTTTTGTTAACATGAGGCAATATTGAAATAGGGTAGAGGC